TCTGATTAACCATCACCTCCTCATGATCAACAGAAATTTGGTGGAATCTAACTTCACAGGAGCTACTCTCGACATGACCACCATGGCCTAGTACACCTAGCTTCACTTTGGGTGGCAACCATGCGCCTTCAGGGGATAGATTTACTACCTGTATCGGGAAGACCCGCTTTGCAGGTGATACCAAGGTAGGGATCAAAACCAAACCACCTGGCAATGAAGACTGGCCTGGCTCAAACAAACATAAGTCTTTACTCTCAGGTAGTATTTTAGGTGTTCTGGCCTGAACTGTAGCCACAGAAGCTGCAGGTATATACAATTTATGTGTGCTAGCTACCCGGACTAAAGAGTTTGCTTCTACTGCGGCAGCTTCTTGTACTTTGTTGAGGGCAGCTCTCCATTCAGCATCCAAATTCCCCTTCAAAGCATTGTCAAACTCAGCTAAAATTAATTGTTTACAACGCTGTGCTATATTCATACCAAGTATGCCTGGGGGCGCTGAGTCAATCTCCCCTTCCTTCTGGTCTCGTATCACTAAGAACCCACACCCAGGTAAAGTCAAACCCATAACCTGGATATCAAGTTCAATGTACCCCTGGTAGGGAAGAGGCAACCCGTTAGCGGCAGTAATCTTTAACCACTTGCTTGTGCAGTGCATATCTTTGTCTTCCCCGTGAAGATGTTCTTTAAAAAAGCTCTCTGTTAAAGTGCTCACATTACTGCCAGTGTCTAACAGGCACCGGATTGCAACTCCCCCAGCATGAATTTCCACTTCTGGGCACTTGCCCACTGCGCGCTCCAGAAACTGCTCTTTTGTGAGGGTACCAGTCTTTGAGCCATCTGTGCCACCTCTCACTGCTCGGCTCTTCGCAATGGAGGTGCACCGTTTCCCGCAATCAGTGACTCAGACGTAGTAGGTACAGGGTTTTCCTGGGAGCGCTGCCCAGTGCAATGCCTGGCTATGTGCCCAACACTCTCACATCTCAAACAAATGGGTTGGCCACCCCGGGTGTATCTCGGCTTAAACTTGGGCTTATTCGATTTCTCAAGAGCTGAGTCAGACCTCTGAATTGTCAAATCACGCACAGCATTGGTAAGCTCCCCGATTGCTTTCCCTTGTTGTGTAATTACTTTAATTACGTCTTGTAGGGCTAGTGTTAAGTCATTTGTTACAGTGGCTGTCATCTGTGCATTTTCAGCACTTTCTTTCACACTCACTAGATTTCTGTTTCGGGCTACATTTGTTGAACGAGGCCTCTCTTCTGAGCACCACAAAAGGGCTTCCTCACGGACTTCAAATAATGTAGCATCAGGTCGCTCTCTAACCACTTTACGGAGCTCCCTGCGGAGTGCTAAATCCCTCACCCCCTCAATAAACTGGTCCCTTAGTGCCCGTTGCACATTTGGAACACATTGTGGTGCTTGTTGCAGAGCAGCATTTAACATCAATGACAGTGCGTGTGAAAAATCACGAAAATCCTCACTGTCTAATTGTTTGCGTGCATAAAATGTGTGCAGTAACTGAGAGGTGCTGAGCTTTTCCCTAAAAGCTGCCCTCAAATATGAGAACATGTCTTCAGCTGACTTATCCTCACCCCCCATGCACAACTTGACTTCATCGAGAGCTGAACCCCTTAAGTGCGAGAGGATAAAATCTACCTGATCCTCGGAGTTTAAACCTCTAACCCTGATTACCCTTTCCAGCTCCTCAATGAATTCATCAACATTCTGGCAGTCTTTACCTAGATCCCCACTAAAAGGTACAATCTGTTTTTCCCTTGGGATATACACATAGGATCTAGTATGGACATTGGTCATGTTAGATAGAGCTGACATGACTTGATCATGCCTACGTCCCAACTCCAGGATCTGGGACTGAAGCTCTGAAATGGGATTACCTCCTTCAGCGTCCACTCCTGGTGCCGCAGCACCTGCACCTTCAATGTCCTCTGCCATTGCGTCAGCATTGTCCATGTCCCTCTCAGCATCCATTACCTTGTATCAGAGTTTCAAAATGTCTCGACCAGCCCACAACAGTCAGATCGACGAGCACTGTCCTTCTCAAAGTCCTTGCAGACAGCAGTCCTGGTGCGCTGGCCCCTTTATCCTGCAGCTGCTTCCGTCAGAATGGCACTGCAGGTCCTTCCAGCACTCAGTCGTGTGTCACCACTACCGTTGTTTGCACTCTTTGATTTTTTTTTTTTAGTTATTTATTTTTATTTTTAGCCCCAAACAAACAGAATCCCACGTCTGACACCAAAATTAGATGTGGCCAATAACACCCTACTTTTATCAGGGAAATAACACAGCCAAAACATCTATAAGAAAAATGGATTCTTTTATTCTGGACTGAGCCTCAAGGAGACACAGCATTAACTTACTTTGTTTGGGAAATGAGCAGCAAGCTTTAAAACAGGTCCAATCAATAAACAAAGTTGGCTTTATGACAAAATAAAAAAGGTCAGCAACAGGAAAAATAAATGTATATATAACTATAAGAATAAATTCTTTGACAGTATTCAAAACATCCAATTTAAAATCCCTATGTGACTTAAAGTAGTTCAAAACCACGTTAATAAACTATTTAATATGTGCAAAACAACGGCAGTGGCTTATCTATGCCTAATAAAGCAAACAAAAACAGAATAAATGAGCAATCAGCACATTCCACTGCATACAATACATCACACATATGATAATTCACATAAAAAGGCATTTTTTACATAACGTAATGTGTTCAGGACCCACACATAAGTTTACATGTTACACTGAGAACAAAACTTTCATGTCTTACACATAATCACACTCCATTAAAATAAAATGAGCAAACTCACTCGTTCTGATTCTCTGAAGCACACGTGCGATTAGCAGTTAGCACCTGTGTGATCTTGTTTACTGCTCTTCTCCCCTCTAACACAGCATAAGGAATAACAGTTATTGTATCAACAGCTTATATAGAGAATAAACAGCGTTATCAAACATTTTGGAACATTATCAAACTCTTAAAACATTTATTAAGTTCACTCACGCTCAATCTCCACTAGCGTGCTCTGAATTCTCCTTCCTCACCGAGATTTCTCACATGCAGGAACAATGATCAGCTGAGCAGCAAATTAAGCCAGCAGATATACAAACTCACACCACCTGCATCTGCTACCTGCTCCCAAGTTAACACAAAACTGCAAACTTTCTCTCTTAAACAGTTGTATCAACTTTCTTTCCCCCTGTCTGTAACTGCTTCACACCGCGCTCTCTGTATCTGACGTGCACCTTTTTTTCCGCGTTTGTGTGTGCGTGAACTCTTAAAGGGGCAGCGCTTAAAAACAAACAAAACTAAATATGGTTGTATAACTGGGGAAATTAATTAAATTTCAAATGAATATTACCCCGGTTACATAAATACAAAGAAATAAGCACAAATTTGAGCAGTTTAAACATCACTCTTTAGGCTAATACTTCTTGTTTGAATATGCTAAAAAGGGGTTTACATGTATTTACCGAAATATAACTTTCTAATATTTACAGTTGAAAGAAGTTTACATACACTTTAAAAAAAGGAACATAACCATTTTTTAAAAAATGTCTGATGGTAAATCCTACTAAACGTTTATTATTTTAGTTTATTATTCTGTTAAGATTACCTAAATGATTTACATGTGCTAAACGCCAGAATAATGAGAGATTTTTTCGAGAATTTTTTATTCCATTCCTCCTGACAGAATTGGTGTAACTGAGTCAGATTTGTAGGCTGTCTTGCTCGAACAAGCTTTTTCAACTCTGCCCACAAATTTTCTATAGGATTGATTTCGGGGCTTTGTGATAGCCACTCCAAAGCATTCACCCTGTTGTCCTTAAAGCACATTTTGACTAATTTGGCAGTATGCTTAGGGTCATGGTCTGTTTGGAAAACTTATTTGTGGCCAAAGTGGACCAGTCCCTACTACAGCAAAACAGTCCCACAGCATGATGCTGCCGCCCTCATTTTTCACAGTTGGGATGGTGTTCCTAGGCTTGTAAGCTTTCCCCTTTGTCCTCCAAATGTAACAATGGTCATTAGCCAAACAGTTCAATCATCAGACCACAGGACATGTCTCAAAAGGTTATTATGTTTCCTAGTGTAATTTTGCAAATTGTAATCTGGCTTTTTTGTTGATTCTGACTTTTTGATTTTCCAATGTTGTCACACAAGGAAGCAGTGTGTTTCCTTAAATACTATTCTACAGTTGTGCCTCCAATTAACTCAAATGTTGTCAATTAGGCAATCAGAAACTTCCAAAAACTTGACACCATCATTCGAGCTTTTTTAGAGGCATAATAATCTTATTGTATGTCAACTTGACTCTGAAGAAAAGTTATAACAATTGCTCAAAAATCTCTCTCTCTCTCTCTCTCTCTCTCTCTCTCTCTCTCTCTCTCTCTCTCTCTCTCTCTCTCTCATTATTGTGCTAAAAGTCATAACAGAAACAAATTTGATAATCCTTACTTACCTAAAAGAGAAAAAGTTTAGTCACATTAAAATCTGACTTTTTTAAATAACTGTGTATATATATATTTTATCTGTGTGTGTGTGTGTGTGTGTGTGTGTGTGTGTGTGTGTGTGTGTGTGTGTGTGTGTGTGTGTGTGTATATATATATATATATATATATATATATATATATATATATATATATATATATATATACAGTGTTAAAGACAATACATGTGCCTGAAAAAACTCAAATCAACTGCTATGTTTAGTAGTAATATGTTTATAATTGCTCAAGATTAGGTTTGTAAAATATATATGAATTAAAAGAGGAGGAGAGAAAGAGATATAAAATAAATCTGAGAGAGTTGATCAAATGAGCAGGCTATTAAGAAAATGGACACTGAAGGACTCTGGGGGGTTGATAGAGGAGAGGCTTGACCATGAAAAGGGGAGGGAAAATGTGGACTTTTTTTTTTTTTTTTTTTTATCTGTCAAGTAAAATAAGATCCCTTACTACAGATGTGCAGTAGTGAGGAGCGTGTTGGTTCATCAAGAAACATCTCAAGATTTTCTTCAGATTACACTTGTTAGCGTTAAGCTACACAAACTTCTACTATGGCTCCCAGAGTGCTGGGCTTCATCAAAGGGTTCTTCGTCTATGAAACCGCCAAGTCTGTAGTAGTGAAGAGCTGGTCTGTTGGAATAATCAACCGGGTCGTTCAGCTGTTAATTATTTTGTATTTCATCTGGTAAGCTTTAACTATATCTTCTTCTCACAAATGTTATTTTAAACTGTTTTTTTTTTACTTGAATCTACAGTTGAAGTCTTTATGTTTAGAGCTTGCTATTTTTCACAGTATCCTTTATATTCTTTTTCTTCAAGTGCAAATGATTTCAGCTAAAATAAAAAAAAACAGTTTTTTATTTTTAAAAAAGCTCTTTTAAGGTCAATATTATTAGTCCCTTTAAGCAAGTTTTTACTCAATAGTCTACAGAACAAACCATTGTCACACAATAACTTGCCTAATTACACTAACTTGCCTAGTTAACCTAATTAATCTAGCAAAGCCTTTCAAAGTGAATACTAATTTCTTGTAAAACAAACAGTAAAATATTAAGTACTGTCATCATCATGGAAAATTTTAGAAATTCTATGAACTATGATTAGAAATGTGTTGAACAATCTATTTCATGTAGACTTGTAAAACTTGACCCTATACTGAAGTCCATCCATTTTTTCAGTATTGTTTTTTACTTGTTATACACAATCAAATTCAAATATAATATCTGTCCTGCGAATTTTGTTTCTGTGAAGACTGAGAAAGTCTTATTTAGTTTAGTCTAAATAAAGACACTTTTAACATTTTTAAAAACAATTTTAAGATAAAAATTATTAGCCATTTCTATTTTTTCCCCTCTGTTGTCTAATGACTTGCCTAATTATTATAACTTGCACAGTCAGCATAAAAGCTCTAAGTTTTTAAATTGCATTTTAGGCTGAATACTAATAGCTTGCAAAATAACTAGTAAAATACTGTGTACTGTCATCATGGCAATGACAAAAAATATATAATTGCAGAAATTAGATTTTAACTGTTAAATAATTAGTTATTATTGAGTTAATAAATTCTTCGTTAATCAGCACTTATTACCTATTAATATAAATTATGTTTAAAATAATTTTTAATTAGGTTAGTTTTTTTACTACTATTTACTGTGTTTACTATGTTTTTAAAACATATATGTAAATATATATGTACGTTCTTTTTAATGTAAACTTTATAAATGCTTTAGCAATACATATGAATAATGTGATAGATTGAATAATATAAAATATATTGAACATGATATATTATTTATCTTTTTATTTAATTATTAATAATTTTTTGCACAACTACTATTTATGGTGTTTACTAAGTTTTTATTATATATGTATGTTCTTTTTTATGAAAACTTTATAAATGCTTTGGCAATACGTTTGTACATTTGTAGCCTTTGTCATGCTAATAACGCAATTATTGAACTGAATTGAGAGAGAGAGAGAGAGAGAGAGAGAGAGAGAAAGGCAATCATTGGCATTACTTACTGAAAAAAAATGATGCAAAGATAATTCCTTGGATGTACTCCATTTTCTAACGTTAAGCGATTGTAAAAAAAAATGCATTAGAGCTGAATTTAAATTAGCTTGTTTGTTTAAATTCAATGCATATAAATTGCAACATTTTAGCAGATATAATTTTTTTCAGTGTGACTTTAATAAATGGCAGTAAACAGTCAAACTGTTTGCAAACTAACAATTGTTTTCATGATAATACATAACCAATAAATATATTATAAGAAAAAACAACCTTAATTAAAGCTGCAAGCAGCGATGATAGGGACCTCGCACCCGGGCTCACCGCCGCCCGGTGGCCTCAGGATGACAGAGAACAGTGAACAGTAATAATTTCAGCCGATATATTAAAAAAATCTGAGAAAATCACAGATTTATGCCAAATTTCCTCCTGTCAGCAGGTGGCGCTATAACTGTGACTCACGATTGGCATGTAGATGTCTTCAGGAGAGAAAACTTATCAACCATGTGAAGTTTCAGGCAGATCGGACATTGTTTGGCTGAGTTATAAGCCAAACTGCCTTTTGTCAGCAGGTGGCGCTATGACAGACTCAATGTTGTTATGTAGATGTGTTCAGGAGAGGACTTTTATCAAACTTGTGAAGTTTCAGCCAGATCGGACTTTGTGTGGTTGAGTTATACTGCAAACTACCATCTGTCAGCAGGTGGCGCTATAACTGTGACTTAAGATTGGCATGTAGATGTCTTCCGGAGAGGAATCTTATCAACCATGTGAAGTTTTAGGCACATGGGACATTGTGTGGCTGAGTTATAAGCCAAACTACCTTCTGCCAGCAGGTGGCGTTATGACTGACTCAATATTGTTATGTAGATGTGTTCAGGAGTGGATTTTATCAACCATGTGAAGTTTCAGGCAGATCAGAGATTGTGTGGAGATTGTGTTTTAAGACAAACTACATTCTGCCAGCAGGTGGCGCTATGAAAGACTCAATATTATTATGTAGATGTGTTTAGGAGAGGACTTTCATCAACCATGTGACATTTTAGGCAGATCTGACATTGTGTGGCCGAGTTACAAGCCAAAATTTCTTCTGCCAGCAGGTGGCGCTATGACTCTGACTCAATATTATCATGTAGATGTGCTCAAGAGAGGACTTTCATCAACCATGTGAAGTTTCAGGCAGATCGGACATTGTGTGGCCGAGTTACAAGCCAAAATTTCTTCTGCCAGCAGGTGGCGCTATGACTCTGACTCAATATTGTTATGTGGATGTGTTCAGAAGAGGACTTTCATCAACCATGTGAAGTTTCAGGCAGATCGGACATTGTGTGGCCGAGTTACAAGCCAAACTACCTTCTGCCAGCAGGTGGCGCTATGACTGACCCAATATTGTTATGTGGATGTGTTCAGGAGAGGACTTTTATCAATCATGTGAAGTTTCAGGCAGATCAGACATTGTGTGGTTGAGTTATAAGAACTTCCTGTTCCATGGCGAAGCGTTGAGGTTTGTCATGCCACCACAGACAAGCCTTTCTCCAAAAACTCTAGATCTTCACAATATGTCATCGCTAGAGCTTTCAGATGACACCACTCTATTTTGGTGCTGATACGGGAAAGTTTGTGGAAGGAGTGTGTTACAGTGTCAAACATGTCATTTCCTGTGGCCAGCAGGTGGCGCTATATTTGTAACTGGATATCGGACCGTAAACCTGATCAGGTCAGGACTGTTATTAAATGTGTGAATTTTGAGGCAGATCGAATATTGCATGCCAGAGTTATAAAGACTTCCTGTTTTGTGGCGAATCATCAAAGTTTGCGAGGCCGCCACGGACACGCCCATCGATGAAAACTCTAAAGCTTCGCAATTTAACATCACCAAGGCTTTAAGATGACAAAACCCAATTTTGGTGTTTATCAGATAAAATCCCTAGGAGGAGTTCGTTAAAATACAACGCCTGAAAATGGCAAAAGTGCCACTTTTTCGCCACAGGAAGTTAAAAATATCCGACTTCCTGTTGGGTTTGAGATATGGCTCCAAGAGACTTTTTCGTATGTTTTGCCATGTTTGAGGTGTGTGCCAATTTTTGTGCATGTGCGTGATTCGTAGATCGGGGGCTCGTCCATTTAATTTTTCTAGGTGGCGCTGTCGAGTCATTTTGCTCCGCCCACTTCAATATTGTTATGTGGATGTGTTCAAGAGATGACGTTTATCAACCATGTGAAGTTTCAGGCAGATCGGACATTGTGTGGTTGAGTTATAAGGCATTCCTGTTCCATGGCGAAGCGTTGAGGTTTGTCATACCGCCACGGACACGCCCCTCTCCGAAAACTCTAGATCTTCACAATATATCATCGCTAGAGCTTTCAGATAACACCACTCAATTTTGGTGTTGATACGATAAAATTTGTGGGAGGAGTTTATAATTCCGTAAATCATGTCATTTCCTGTGGCCAGCAGGTGGCGCTGTAACTGTATCTGGATATCGGCATGTAAACGTGTTCAGGTCAGGACGCTTATCAAGCGTGTGAATTTTGAGGCAGATCAGATAATGCATGCCTGTGTTATAACGACTTCCTCTTTTGTGGCGAATCGTCAAAGTTTGCGAGGCCGCCACGGACACGCCCATCGATGAAAACTCTAAAGCTTCGCAATTTAACATCGCCAAGGCCTTTAAATGACAAAACCCAATTTTGGTGTCGATCGGATAAAATCCCTAGGAGGAGTTCGTTAAAATACAACGCCTGGAAATGGCAAAAACGCCACTTTTTCGCCGCAGGAAGTTAAAAATATCCGACTTCCTGTTGGGTTTGAGATATGGCTCCAAGAGACTTTTTCGTATGTTTTGGTGTGTTTGAGGTGTGTGCCAATTTTCGTGCATGTGCGTGATTCGTGGATCGGGGGCTCGTCCGTTTAATTTTTCTAGGTGGCGCTGTCGAGTCATTTTGCCACGCCCACTTCCGATGCCCATAACAAACGTAAATTTTCGCCACTTCTGAGGCGTGTGCCAAGTTGCGTGAGTTTTCGGGCATGTTTAGCCCCTCAAAACCGCGATTCATTCCGCGGAAGAAGAAGAAGAAGAAGAAGAAGAAGAAGAATAATAATAAACGGAGCAATTCCAATAGGGCCTACGCACCGTTTCGGTGCTCGGTCCCTAATTAGTTTGCATCATCAATCAGCATAATGAGCTGGGTTTTTTTATAGCTATGAATTAAATCTCCACCCAATAAGGTTTCAATGACTGTTAAGGCTCTTACATAAAACAATAAGGTTAAATCAGTTATCAGAACAAAGAGCATATTCAGGGCAGCACAGTGGCACTGTGGGTAGCACAATCGCCTCACAGCAAGAAGGTCGCTGGTGTGAGCCCCGGCTGGGTCAGTTGGCATTTTCGTGTGGAGTTTGCATGTTCTCCCCGTGTTTGCATAGGTTTCCTCTGGGTGCTTCGGTTTCCCCCACAGTCCAAAGACATGCACTATATGAACTGAATAAGCAAAATAGTGTATGTGGGTAAATGAGTGTGTATAGATGTTTCCCAGTGATGGGTTGCAGCTGTTAGACTGCATAAAACATATGCTGGATAAGTTGGCGGTTTATTCTGCTGTTGCGACCACAGATTAATTAAGGGACTAAGCCAAAAAGAAAATGAATGAATGAATGAATGATGAGCACATTCAAAAAACTTCAGTATTTTATGCTTTGTCAGTTTAGTGGCTAATTGTATGACTTTGTATGAGTTCAGACATACAAAATTGTGCGATTTTAAAAAGGAGGCATGGCATCCAACCCCATCAAACCGTCAATGGGTGATGAGCAAAACGTACTAAATTGTATGAATCATACAAAATCATCTGAATAAGCCACTAAATCAAAAAGTTACAAATTGCCGTGAGATTGTGTTGGTTCAATCACTTCATTGTCATGTGTGTGTTTGTGTTTTCAGTTGGGTGTTTATGCATGAAAAAGCGCATCAGCTCCGCGACACAGGAATTGAGTCTGCGGTCATGACTAAAGTGAAGGGTTTGGGTAACTTTAACGACCGTGTGATGGACGTAGCAGACTATGTCATTCCATCACAGGTAAGCAAATGCATATTTTAATAGTGAAATGATTATCTCTGAAACATATCTCGCGATGAATGTTTCTGCACATTTTTCAGGGAGCCTCATCATTCTCTATCATTACCAACATGGTCGTCACAGCCAATCAGACGCAAGGATACTGTCCTGAGGTGAATCTCAAATCTTACGAGAATTTCTAGACTTTAAATGCACTTTATCACACACTCTTTCTCTGCATACTCTTCCTTTTTCAGATCGAAAAAAAGTTTAGTTGCACTTCTGATGGTGACTGTGAGAAAAAAATTGGCTTAAATATTGGAAATGGTGGGTTCATTTTTTTTCCTTAAGGCAAACATGACTAGCAGATTTCATTACATGAACTCTAAAGCAGAGCGGTGTGCTTATATGTTTGCTTTTGATGTATCTTTGCCTTTTCACAGGTATGATAACAGGCAAATGCTTGAATGATAATGGAACAAGTAATGATACATGGCGTTGTGAAATTCAAGGCTGGTGCCCAGCAGAAGACGACACCATTTCTGGGTAAGAAGTAATTCAATTCAATTCAAGTTTATTTGTATAGTGCTTTTTACATTAATTATTGTTTCAAAGCAGCTTTACAAAAGGTGTACAGTATTGCATTATGTAATTGATTTACACTCAAATAAAGTTAAAGTTGCGATCAAATATAAGTTATTATATACAGACATGGTTAACCTGCCATTTAATAGCGTATAGGTGATGTCTGTGTGTACATGTTTAATGAAGTGTATTTAATAAATAACAGGGCCCTCAAAATCTGGTAGCCTCAAGTTTCAGGGCTATTGTTTTTTCAGTCAGGCTAGGAAAAGTCTATCCCCTGCCTGGCGGCCTATCTAGATCTATTGTCTATCTAGATCTAGATAGATTTTGTTAGCCTGACAAAAATAAATAAATAGCCCTGGGACTTCGGGCTACCAGATTTTAAGAGCCCTGAATAAGTAATATATGCTTTTGAACAAATTTTATAGTTTAAATTCTCACCCACAGAAAGCCAATGCACGAGGTGGAGAATTTCACCATATTCATCAAGAACAGCATTCGCTTCCCTCTCTTTGGTGTCGCTCGGTGAGTTTCTGACCTTTGCACAAGAATCACAAACAGTGAAACATATGATTCATTGGAATTTACTCATTTTTTTCTCAAGTTTTTACAAAAAAAATGTATTGGCCAAATTTAAACAAACAAATTAAATTTAGTAATGTTCAACTTTAATTAGTTTGTTTAAATTCAGCCCATATCCAGGTTAGTGGTTGAAATCCAACTAACTGTTTTTTAGGGAACCATACACTGTACACAATGCTGGGTTCCACACAATTGTTGTGACAACATGAAGATGTTAACTTATTAGTTTTTTATAAGTTTAAGTGGACTAAACATAAAACAAATAAGTTTTCGCAAAGAACTCTCAAAAATGATGTTGTTTCAACTCATTTTAAATAAGTAGTTTGAACAAACACAAATGTCATTTTTTTATGTATTGTTTTATAAATAAAAGATTCTGAATGTAATCTAAGTTCCATTAATCCAGTGCATGAATTTACCAGAAATTATTGTGTAAAATATAATTTAAGAATATTTTTTTCTCAGCCAAAAATTATATTGAAATAATTAAAAATTTCACCATTAGTGTTATTCATCAGTTGGCAGCTCTGAATTGAAATAATATACTAACATTTTTACAACAGAATTTTTGGTAGCGCTTTATTTAAAGGTGTCCTTGTTACAAATGTTTCATGTAATTACCATAGAATTGACAATTAATAATGCATAATTACATTCAACTAACCAAGATCTAACCCGCATACTAACTCAAGTCACGCAGTAAGTGTTGATTACTTTTACACAGTGGCTACATTAGTTACATTACACTGTAATAAAGACACCTTAAAATAAAGTGTAACTAAAACTTTTAACAGATAAAATAATAACAATGCCAATTGCTGATGTCCTGTTTCTCTCTTAACTTCACAGTGGTAATTTCCCTTCAAGCTTAAACAGGTCTTACATTCAGTCCTGTAACTATGACCCAGTGCGCCATCCGTTCTGTCCCATCTTTAAAGTGGGAGATATCCTGAAACACCTCAACCAAAGTCTGGAAAATATTACAAAGATTGTAAGTCCATTCAGCTTTTCTACTTTAGTTTCCTTTCAATTTATCAAAGAAATCCATTCCATCATATTCATCTTATAAACGATTCATTAGATCTCTCAGATGACTGCTGTAGGATTGTTAGAGCAAGCCTTAATGCATTTTTGTCTTGGCCTAGTGTTAATCCATTTTAATCGATTTTTCTAATAAAAATCATCAAATGAAAGGCTGCAATTTTTGTTAAAGAAGTCAGTATTATTACGATTTTTATTGGAATATATATTTTAGATATTATCTATTTTGTGATGACAGCTGAATTTTACCCCAATCTTCAATTTCACAGTGTATCATTCAAACGCGCTAAATAGATGATCAAAAACATTTTTATTATAATAAATGCTTAAACTGGCTGTTTTATTATTTACATACTTAATTTTGTGTGTGGAAAACTTAATTTACTTGACATTTCCAAAAAATATTTTTTTATATTTATCAGGTTTTTACATTAAATTTATCAAACATGACAGTAAAACAAAATCACAGTTTACACAAAAAAAAAGAAAGACATTTTTTTTTTTTTTGAGAATAAAAACATTGATAATGTGAAAACACCATAATGTATCATAATAGAGCAGCAAATCATGTTAGAAGGATTTCTGAACAATCATCTGAAACGGAGACCTGGAGTAAAATGCTGAAAGCAAATATTCAGCTTTAAATTGAATTACAATATATCGACAGAGATATATCCATAAAAACCATCCTTAACGCTTCCTATTATTGAGTGTATTTTAAGACGCATCAAATGGCACATGCAGAAGACAACAAATTACCAACAGAGACCAACAAGGACTACCAAAAACCAATACAATTCCCATTACAACCATTAAACCACTTAAAACATTACCAATTCTGTGAGGGTTTCCATTGCTTTTTGCAGCAGGTGAATAATTGATTTAAGTGGATGTTTCAAAAGTCAATATTTTCTGTTTATTAAAAAAAAAAATGTTTAGGACATAGACAAGAGAGAAATAAAGGGCTCTCGATCACCCTCTAAAGGAGAAAAGAAGGATAACGAGGTTGAAGTATCCTTTCCTACAATGAAAGCAGAGAAAACTAAATAAAGGAGAATTATTATGGGAAAAATCAACCATTAAATCCATAATAAAACGTTCAAGGTGATAAACAAAAGCGTACAGCACCTGGTATTCCCAGGAGGTCTTCCTTCCAAGTACTAAGCAGGCCCGATAGCTTTTGTGATCGCGGACGAGATCGAGCGCGTTTTTTTTATTTTAAAATTTTTTATTAAAGAGATTGCACATACATTTTTATACACTAAAAGACATTACAACACAGTTTAAAACAAACCAACAAAAAAGGTGGTGGTGGTAAGGCAGAGACGCTGAGGTCAAAACCTACAACATCGCACCCCCCTTCTGACCTTACCAAATGTCTAAATGAGATTAATAAATGGATGACTAATAATTTCTTAAAGTTAAATGCCAGTAAAACCGAAGCCCTCTTGGTTGGCTCAAAATCTCCAAAGCTCAATCTTTTACCCTGTTTGTTGATAACTCCCCAGTAAATTTCTCAACCCACGTGAAAAGTCTTGGGGTTATACTGGATGGCATGCTCTCATTTAGTTCTCAAATTAGTAATATCTCACGTTCTGCCTTTTTTCATTTGCGTAACATTGCAAGACTTCGCCCTTCACTATCTCAACAAAGTACTGAAGTGCTTGTTCATGCTTTGGTTACATCACGGATTGATTACTGTAACTCGCTACTCTCTAGTATTCCTGATAAACAACTTCATAGACTACAGTTGATTCAGAATTCAGCGGCTAGGATATTTACCTGCTCGCGTACTTCTGATCACATAACTCCAATTCTCTTTCACCTGCACTGGCTTCCTGTTCACTATCGTTTACAATACAAAATCCTCCTCTTAACATACAAAGCTCTTCATAACCTGGCCTCTCACTATCTTTCTGATCTTCTTCAATTGTACACTCCTTCACGCTCACTGAGATCATCTTCTGCTGAACTGTTATCTGTCCCACACTTTAAGATGAAGTCATTTGGAGGCAGGGCTTTTAGTTGTACAGCACCAAAGTTATGGAATTCCCTGCCTTTGCACATTCGCCAGATGGACTCTGTTTCCAATTTTAAATCTCAGATAAAGACGTTTTTGTTTAGGATAGCTTTTAATGATTTGCTGGTTTAATTTTATGCTGATTGTCATTTTTTCTGCTTGTATTTTTATGATGTACTTGTAATCTGCTGTAAGGTGTCCTTGAGTGCTTTGAAAGGCGCCTAAAAATAAAAGGTATTATTATTATTATTATTATTAAAAGAGACCTGTTTAAAGACACCAACCAAAAAATGCAGCTACTGTATGTAAGTAATGTCCTCCATTGTTATTTGCAATTAATCACTATTATAAACGTTTTCAATGTTCAAATTTTACAAGATATCGTTTTGCCATAATGCTGAGAGAACACTGGATTATACACTCATCGTCCACTTTATTAGGTACACCTTACTAGTACCGGGTTGGACCCATTTTTGCCTTTAGAACTGCCTTAATCTTTTGTTGCATAGATTCAACAAGGTACTGGAAATATTTCTCAGAGATTTTGGTCCATATTGACATGACAGCATCACACAGTCCATTGCACATCCATGATGCAACTCTCCCGTTTCACCACATCCCAAAGGGGCTCTATTGGATTGAGAACTGGTGGCTGTGGAGGCCATTTGAATACATTTAAATTCATTGTCATGTTCAAGAAACCAGTCTGAGATGATTTGCGCTTCATGACATGGCGCGTTATACTGCTGGAAGTAGCCATTAGAAGCTGGGTACACTGTGGACATAAAAAAAGGATAACCATGATCAGCAACAATACTCAGGTAGGCTGTGGCATTGACAAGAAGCTCAGTTGGTACTAATGAGCCCAAAGTGTGCCAAGAAAAGATCCCCCACACCATTACACCATACCTCGATTGTAACGAGTGGTTCTTTGAGTTGCCTTTCTATCAGCTGGACCCAGTCTGGCCATTCTCCTCTGACCTCTGGTATCAACAAGGCCACAGAACGGCCACTAACTGGATATTTTCTCTTTTTCTGACCATTCTCTGTAAACTCTAGAGAGGGTTGTGCATGAAAACCTCAGTAGATCAGCAGTTTCTGAAATACTCAGACCAGCCCGTCTGGCACCAACAACCATGTCACATTCGAAGTCACTTAAATCACCTTTCTTCCCCATTCTGATTCTCGGTTTAATCTGCAGCAGATCGTCTTGACCATGTCTACATGTCTAACATTGAGTTGCTGTCATGTGATTGGCTGATTAAAAAATTGCATTAATGAGCAGTTGGACTGCTGTATCTAATAAAGTGTACAGTGAGTGTATATTAACTTTTATATATATGTGTTCGCTTACATGCATTATATTTAACCTTAGATGTTGTTTGTGGTTGTTTCAGACATTATGTTTTCATGTTATTCAAGTTGTGGCACTGGACTTGACATAGAAGCACTAAACACGTTTTAAATTATGGGTCGTGCTTCCAGTTTGGGAAACTTCTATTCAAAATCACTGTAAAATAAAAAATAAATAAATAAAATGTTTGTGCTACAAATAATCTTTAGTTAAAAAAAAAAGAAAACTATGTAACAGTTGTGTCATTAGTAAAATGGTCTCTTCTGAGTTCACTTATTTTGTTCCTCCAGATTAATTTGTTTCAGTGATTCGTACAATTTAATAACTTTTTTTTTTAGAGTAGAGTTTTTGGGGATTATAATAATTATTATTATAGTCTGCTGAAAGTCATTTATTGTAATACATTTTCTTTTCATGTTTGAGGGTTGGTGGTTCGTGGGGAGGATGTAATGTAATGTAACATAATGATGATAATGATGACATAAGGAAAATATTGTTGTTTTTTAATATTCTTAAATTTGCTGATTGTTTACATATTATTGTATCTAAAAACATTTGACAGTTGTGTAAAGTGAAAGTGATTTTTTGTTGTTTTTTTGTTTCAGGGAGGAGAGATTGGAATTAACATCAATTGGAAGTGTAATCTGGACTATGATGAGGAGAACTGCAATCCCAAGTACTTCTTCACACGCTTGGATGCTGCTTTTGAACACAGCAGTGTTTCTAAAGGATATAACTTTAGGTAGAAAAAACTACAGTATATACTCATACCCTCATGCATCATCCCATGCTTTCTTTGACTCCATCTGCTTTTTGTGTGTTCCAGGTTTGCTAAATACTATCAATCGGAAGATGGGACTGAGTATCGAACGCTTCATAAAGCTTATGCCATCCGCTTTGAAATAATCGTGTCTGGCAATGTGGGTATTGTTCAGCTTATTAAAGTCGCGCTTTAAATTATTCAATTATCAGCTGGGTTTCCATCATCCTGTGTTAATGCACATTTTAAAGCATCAAATGAGAAACAGGTGACAGAAATAGCAAATTTGAAATGAAACCCCTAATTTGCAAAATGAAAAATTGGACTTGCTTGAGGTGGTTATAGACTTGTAACCCTAACCTTAAATGTAATGCAAATATAATGGAGAGGGAAACTCATTTGCCAAATAAAATGCAACATATGACACATGCAAACATTGGACCCATGTGACACGTCTCCATAAACACCTTCCACATTTTCAGATTTCTCAACAGTGGAAGACATCATAAATAAGTAAACTAGAAGGCAGTGAATGGGAGAGTACTACAAATATATTTTATGTGGTAAATAAATTAGTTTGCTCAAATAAAAAAGGTTTATGATAGTGTTTTCACAACTTTCATAAAAAGGGACTGATAATGCAGCCTGATCTCACAAGAAAACGTAAGTATTTTTCGTTTTGTCTGTTTATTGACTAATTCGTATATGATTCATATATATTTGTATGAGTTCAGTCAGAAGTTTTAAAAAGGAGGCGTGGCACCTAACCCCACCCCTAATCACAATCGTCATGGGGTGATAAGCAAATCATACTAAATTGTACGAATTAGATCGTAAGAAATTATACGAATTAGCCATTAAATCAAAAAGTTACGAAAAGCTACAAATTGCTTTGAATAATGGCAGCCAGAAGAGAGAAAAAACAAATCTAATTCACCGCATTAGAAACGCATGCAAAATCATATAATAAAAGTATATTTTAGCTTTAGAAATGTAAAGTTACATAGTTTAAAATAAAATCTAAACAATTAAAAACTCACAGACTTAAGATGCTGATCATTGTTAAAATGCGTCTTCGCTGTCTTATGAAAAGAGTCTGTTTTGCTTGCCTGGTTTACTGTTGGCTAAAAGGTTACCAATATTACAGTCAGCCACCTAAAAAACTCGATGGAAATGCAGCTATTTCCCATTTTTTAAATGTAATTTGTTTTGAGAAAAGACTTGCTTTACGTTAGGACCATAAATATATATATATATATATATATATATATATATATATATATATATATATATATATATATATATATATATATATATATATATATATATAAATCCCTTAGAAATACCCCTTAGATACCAGGTCCATGACATCATTTAACTCTGCATTCTTTCAATTTTAATGGTCCGTACTGGCCCAATATTTCCATGATTACTGGCATGTGCAGGAACCACCAAAATTAAATACAGCAACCTAGACCACACAGAACCTAACATATACAGAACATATACAATTATTTTAATCACTTTCAACAGTATTTTATAAAAATTCAAAGGGTTTTCTTTAAAATGATACCAAACATTTGCATTTACACCTCTGCATGTGGATTTGGGAAGCTTTTTAATTTGGGTAGGCAAAATCCAGGAGAACCAAAAGTAGCACTTGATTTTAAGAGGTCAAACACAGTTATGTGGAAACAGTGTGTGAATATAGCCAGCCTCAAATGGTTAAAAAAAAATTATATTTTTTACAATTACACTTAAATAAAAATTGTCTGCAGAAACACTTTGATTGACATTTTGCTTTTATACATGTCATCAGATGGGGAAGACCTGCCCACAAGTGGGATCTCTCCCTCATTAGAATAGGATGTTAGTCTTGTCTTTAAATCTGCCACTATGCTGATGCACAGGTGTTTGTAGCTCCGCCCTCTTTTGAAAATAGCACAATCTCACTTGAATTTAAAGCGACAGTCACCAAAGCTGCACAATTTTGATTAAAGAGGCAGTATCAAAGATCATGTAGATCATCAGTATTTTGAGCTGAAACTTCACATACATACTCTAGGGACATCGGAGACTTATTTTACATGTTGTAAAAAGGGGCATAATAGGTGCGCTTTAAGTAAATGCAATGTAGGTTAACCTAAAATGACTTGTACACTTAATTTAGAGAACAAGTATTTTTACGGTTCATTAATGTGACATATGAGCTTGTGTGACTCTGCGTATCTATTTGCAGGCAGGCAAGTTTAATGTGGTGCCATTTCTGATTAATTTGGTTGCAGCATTTACTTCAGTGGGATTGGTAAGATGATTGTAACACATATTAATACTGAGGGAAAATGCATACACACTCATAATGTCTGACTGATGTTTGTTTTTGCAGGCTACAGTATTCTGTGACATCATCCTTCTGAACTTTCATAAAGGAGCAGATGAGTACAAAGCAAAGAAATTTGAAGAGGTATGGAAATGCTTATCAGATTTAAAGTCCACATGAACCGGAAGTTGTGACAGTTTTTTATTTTTTTTGTATTGTGGAGCAGTTCCTAGAGAAACGGAATATTCAATGAGAAAACAATAGGCGTGGCTTGTTTTTTCTACTGCGAGCTGATTGGATAAGTAGGCATTTCATTCAGAATGATTTGGAAAAGGGCTTTAGGAGAGTTACTACAACCTAACAGACTTCTTACTCTTTCTGTTTGCTGTTAAAACTGACAGTTGGAGGGGAGTAGTTAAGTTTGTTAGCCACACCAAATACCTTAGACAGACGAAATTTGACAATTTAACTAAAAACATACAGGAAGTGCATTTTCAGATTTCAATTAAACATTAGAAGGGTAAACTTTTTTCTAAATGACATACACGGACAAATTGTTCACCACAAAACTAGCATTGTGAGCTAACCAAATCATATGGTTAGTTTTGATTTCACATGTACTACGTTTACTGTTTTAAAGTGTGAGTAGTGATATCTTTCTGTCCCCTTTCTTCAGGTATCAGGCTTTGTGCCTGAGTCTGGAAGCAACATACTCTACAAGGGCAGCCAGGTGTCGATCAAAGCACTGGAGAAGAACTCTAATGACTCGGGGACTTTTTCTATTGGGCGTCAGGAGTGAGTCATGTAGTCTGTCAAATCAATGAGACTTTCAAACAACATTACTGCTTATGGATTTTTATGCACTTGCAATTTCTTAAGGTGGAAGTTTCAAATGTTTTATTCTGATTTTAAGTTTGTCAAACATTTGAGCTGGATTTGTCAATAAGTAATGACATCATTCAGGTAATACCAAACAAGAAAGCACACATACAGTAGATATTTACATTATTAAGTCAAAGAGATAAAATCACTATACAAATATTGCACATGTAAAATCACATTTTATTTTCTGATGACATTCAGGGTAACACTTTATAACAGTCCTTTTTACATAAACTTAGTAATAACAATAGCTATGTATCATTACAAGAAAATAGAAACAATCCCTCAACAATCAAACAGAAACAATCCCTCATCATAGTGAACTCATGTTGTTCATAAATATGACTCGGTAATAATTATGTTATTACACTAACAATGTAATTACACAATTAAAGTAAGTGTAAACAAATTCATATATAGGTCATAGATGAAATGTCCTATTTTGGTGTCTGTCAAATTTTAAAAAGCATATTAAAGTGCCTACCTTTACATTTCAAATTATTCTGTGGAAATAAAATGTTAGAATATGGGTGATAGAGTTGAAGTCAGAATTATTAGCCCCCCTGTTTATTTTTTCCCCAATTTCTGTTTAACAGAGAGCAGATTTTTACACATTTTTACACATTTCTAAACATAATACATTTAATAACTCATTTCTAATAACTGATTTATTTTATCTTTGTCATAATGACAGTAAATAGTATTTTACTAGATCTTTTTCAAGATACTTCTTTAAGGTTAAAGTGACGTTTAAAGGCTGAACTAGGTTAATAAGGTTAACTAGGCAAGTTAGGGTAATTAGGCAAGTTACTGTATAATGATGATTTGTTCTGTAGACAATCCAAAACAAATATACCTTAAAGGGGCTAGTAGTTTTGACCTTAAAATGTTTTTTTTTAATTAAATTTGCTTTTATTCTTGCTGAAATAAAACAAATAAGACTTTCTCCAGAAGAAAAAATATTTTCGGACATACTGTGAAAATTTCCTTGCTCTGCTAAACATAATTTGGGAAATATTTAAAAAGGGGAAAAAATTCAAAGAGGGGCTAACAATTCTGACTCCAACTGTATATTCATTTTGTGTAACATTTAGCCTATTCATGTAAAAATAAAACAACTTATCTATTGTGACATGAATCTATTCAAATAAATTAAACATTAGGTGACTGTTCAAAGTTATTTTTTAAAAGATTTAAAATGTATTACTGATAAATGGGTTAAATCTAGTGGTTGGAATGACAGTGGCTGTAAGTAAAAAAGTTAAAAAACAATAAATTAGTCCCACAACGGTGATCTTTAAATAAAGTCTCTTAATATTTCATCAAAAGTTTTTGTGCTAAATATGCCAGACAAGATTTGTTGTTTTTTTTGTAACAGTGATTTATTGTACATGTTAGTGGTTCTTTTCTGTTAATAATGGTAAAATTGTATAAAAGTCTTTTTGTTTTTCTTATAAAAAACTAAAAATAAAAACAGAACACAATTGAATCTAACAACATTAAAACTTTATGTTGGGTAACACTTCAAACACATTTTGATGGTCCATTTGAGTATTAGAAGACTGTCTGCTTAATATCTGTTGATACTGCTCCTTCAATAGACATTTAACTGACTATAAGTAACTTTGCAAGTACATGTCAACTTACACTAACCCTAACCACAACCCTAACCCCAACCTAACAGTCTACTAATAATCTAATGAGATAGTTGGCATAAAGATGCAATTTAACTTAAATTCAACAAGCGGACCATTAAAATAAAGTGTGACTTCATGTTGATGCTTTTCAACAGAGCTTTTACTGATCTACAGTGTACATTTACAACAATTAAGCAGCAGTAAATCACATAATGTAAACAAAAAACAGTAAATATTTCATTAGGTACCATAATCATTCAATGTATAAAAAAAGCAAGATATTATTTTCAGAAGTTAAAAGTGCATTCAGTATTCATGGTTGATTTGTGTGTTTATTGTGAATTATTTATGTAAATCAGCAGGGTATTCATTTAAGTATAAAACACTGGGAATTATAATTGTGTGTCATTTTAAAATCACGAATATGTGACGTTAATTCTGCTGTCCTTTTAAATGTTTTATACTGTATAAACTAACTAATTTAATGGCATATCAGTGTGTCATTGGCATATCAAAATCTCATTAAATGTTTTCTTTTTCAGAATGTGATAACTGTGTGTTGTTTGTGGCCTGCGGTGAGGTGTGTTTGTACAATCTGTGTTGATGTGAGCTGCAGAAGTGCAAGAGTGGACTCAAATGCACAGCGAGTCAAAATTTATACTTTGCACTTTTGCCTCTTAAAGACGCAATCCACTTCGGCAAAGACGGTCGAGGAGAACGTTCGTCCAGACGTTCATTATTATCCTCTTTTTCAACCTCTTCTTCTTCCTCTTCTTCTTCGTCGTCATCGTCATCATCATCATCATCATCATAATCCTCATCTTCGTCATCATCATCATCATCATCCTCTTCTTCATTGTATTCTGGCAAGTATCTGGCGGTTATGACGATAACCTCCTCAGCAAATCGAACTCGTCGAGTAACTTCCATCCTCCTCTGGTTGAGAAAAATGACATGAGAAACAATGACATGATGTCTGGTAATTGTGGACACTACAATGATTACAGTGGATTTCTAAAATTATAGAACATGGTTATAAAACATTAGAAATGACCAGCTTATTGAGATTTTTCTTTATTATGTCAGACTTAATTCTTCTCAAAATCACTGTTTACTTACACATTACAAACTCATAAGAAAATCAAAAAGTCCACTGAAAGGCTCATAAAAAGATGAACTGGTTTATTTTATGCTTTTATTCACATATAAACATTGATCAGTGAATATAAACAGAAGTGCAATGAAAGAACCTCATTCGTTCTTAAAAATAATTTTTCACACAGGCGATTCATTCCCATGTGGTGACCCCTGATTAATTAAGGGACTAAGCCAAAGGAAAATGAATGAATGAGTTTTGGCATTCTTGATGAGTCATTGAAACTAGACAAACATTCATTCATTCATTCATTTTCTTGTCGGCTTAGTCCCTTTATTAATCCGAGGTCGCCAAAGCGGAATGAACCGCCAACTTATCCAGCAAGGTTTTACGCAGCAGATGCCCTTCCAGCCGCAACCCATCTCTGGGAAACATCCACACACACATTCACACACTTACTCATACGCAACGAACAATTTAGCCTACCCAATTCACCTGTACCACATGTCTTTGGACTGTGGGGGAAACCGGAGGAACCCAGAGGAAACCCAAGTGAACGCAGGGAAAACATGCAAACTCCACACAGAACCGCCAACTGAGCCGAGGCTCGAACCAGCACCCCAGCGACATTCTTGCTGTGAGGCAACAGCACTATCTACTGCGCCACTGCTTCGCCCACTAGACAAACATATCAATGATAAAAGCCTTCTGAGCGTGCCAGTAGGCGCAGAAGGCCCCTACTGACCCATATCTATCAGCTGATAACCACTAATAACGCCCATTCAATCGAGTGATAACATTCAAATCGGCTGACCCGATCAGCACAAAAATCCACATTTGTCACCCTGGACTATGGTAATAAGTGTATGATTTTGAAATTTGAGATTTATACATAATCTAAAATCTGAATAAATAATCGTTCCATTGATGTGGTTTCTTATAGAAAAATGTTTGGGCAAACTTTTTGAAAATCTGGTTTAAAAATTTTAATATTGAAAAATCTGTTTTAAAGCTATCTAAAATGAAGTGCTTAACAATGCATATTACTAATCAAAAGTTACATTTTGATTTATAATTGGTGGGAATTTTACAAAATATCTTAATGGAACATGATCTTTACTTAATATTCTAATCATTTATTTTGGACAAAAAACTTTTCATTTTGACCCATACAATGAAAGTATGGCTATTCCTACAAATATACCCACGCAACAGACTAAACAAAAACAGTTTTTGTAGACAATGGTCATAATTACTAACCAAAAATGTACTTGGTCAAAATAATAACAATAAATTACACTTTAATTAAAGGCTATAATGTGATTCATGTATGAAATATGTTGAAAATTGTAAATAATACATATAAATAGCAAACTAACTGAATATTTATGTGAAATCAAAACAGATTTACTTTCACTTTTATTCAATTCAATACAACTTTTTATTCCTTGTTGAAATGAATAAATCTAACCACAAACATCTGAATGGCAGTACAGATGTAGTCAGAATTATTAGTCTTCCTGTGAAATTTTAATCATTATAAAATACTTTATAAGAGCTGTTTAAGAGAGGGAAGCTATTTCAACACATTTTTAAACATAATAGTTTAATTTTTAATTATTTCTTTGTCTTTACCTTGACAGTACATACTATTTTTCAAGATGCTAGTATTCAGCTTAAAGTACAATTTAAAGGCCTAAGTAAGTTCATTAGGTTAATTAGACAAATCACTGGACAATAGTTGTTCATTCTGTAGCTATCAAAAAACAGCTTAAGAGGGCTAATAACCTTAAAACTTATTTTAAAAACTAAAAAAGAAATTGTGTTTATTCCAGCAAACTAAAAGAATATTTGAATTATACTATAATATTAGAATTAGAGAAAAAAATATTATTAAAAAATGTCCTAGCTCTGTTCAAGAGCACTTGGGAAATATTTGGGAAAAAAATGCCCTAAACTGTACTATGTGCTTCCTGAAAGCACTGCATGAGGATGTTATTCAAAGCAGTTCCTGATGTTGCATTATCTGTCAACGAGGGAATTTTTAAAGTGACTGGCATTGTTGAAGCCTTGGTCACATGACAGTAAAAACAGCCTCACCCAACAATCAATACAATAATGGCACTAAAACTACAACCATCTCGACACAACAACACATGTGCGTCTGTAGTCTGTAGTGACAAACTTCATGTTCACACCCAAAACAAAGGTGCAGTCATTAATCTGAGCAGAAACTAATTTATCAAAGTAAGTTGACATAACAGTCAAAAGAAAACCCAGAGTACCCTACCTTTTTGACTGCAGTTTCCGGGTTTTCAGAGATGGAGTCTGGGACTGAGTTGAGGGAAGATGAGTTTGAAGATGGTGTGTTTATAAAAGAGCTGCTCTGCTCTTCCTCATCCTCCATGTTCTCTGTCGTGTGTTCAAACAGATTTCTCCGTTTGGTCCAGTGTTCTCTTTTCCGGCTCAAAGATCCCTGGGAAGTTATTGATGATCTGTCTCTTGGCTGAGAAAACAAAAAGGAGCAATGAACAAATATTCCACACGTTTTTTACATAAATAGTTACAAAGTAATTAAGTTTTCATTTTAAGCCTAAATTGAAGCAGTTTTTGATCTATTTTAACATTTCTTAAGTGTTAATTCTTTTATTTTAAATTTATAGTTTAATTGAAGAGTTTAGATGCAAAAACGTCTAAGTTTCCTGTGTTTATTTTCATTTATTTTACATCACAGACAATGAAAATAAAAAAAAAATTTGCCATAAAAGTAAATATTTCTCTATTTTAGGTAGCACTTTTTTTGGTTTTTGCATCTGAACTCTTCAATTCGTTTTCTGTATTCTATGAGATTTGTATGAATTTTAAGTACTATTAAGTCAAGTAATTAAAGTCAGACAAAGTAATTAGAAAGCAGTTTAAACACAATTCAATGATGAATTAGTAACAAACTACGCTACCTAACAAAAGTCTTGTCGCCTACCCAAGTTTTAGGAACAACAAATAATAACTTCTAATCGATCAATTGGTATCAGAAGTGGCTTATATGAAAGGTGAAGGCCACTAAATTAATCCTTTTTTACCAAAATAAAATATGATTATACCTTCATTTTTAATTATTTAATTAGGACAGTAAGGTCTGGCTTTGCTTAGACAAAAGTCTTGCCACCTAACAGAAATAATGTACAGTATAGAATATAAAGTCATGGTGCAGTGGAAAAGGAATTAATATTGTGTATGACTCTCATAAGCTAGGAGGACTGGATCCATACATCTCTGCAATGACTCAAATCACTTAATAATAAAGTCATGTGGAATGGCAAAAGAAAGCGTTCATGCAGGACTCCCAGAGATGAATCTTTGGATTCATATTCAATGCCTCCTCCAACTTACCCCAGACCCCATGCTCAATAATGTTCATTTTTGGTGACTGGGCTGGCCAATCCTGGAGCACCTTGACCTTCTTTGCTTTCAGGAACTTTGGTGTGGAGGCTGAAGTATGAGAAGGAGCGCTATCCTGCTGAAGACTTTGTCCTCTCCTGTGGTTTGTAATGTACAGTCTTGATACCTCAGGCTGTTGATGTTACCCTCCACTCTGCAGATCTCTCGCACGCCCCCATAATGAATGTAACCCCAAACCATGATCAACCAAACTTGACTGATTTCTATGAGAATCTTGAGTCCATGTGGGTTCCAATAGGTCTTTTGCAGTATTTGTGATGATTGAAAAATCTTCTGCCACTTTTCCAAATGATCAACTAGAAGTCGAGTTATTATTTGTTGCTCTGACAACTGGGATCGACGACAAGACTTTTGTGAAACACTGTACATGTTTAAAGTAACTTGTCCAACACTTATGCTAACAATCAAACACTATTGTTTTTACTCTTACCTTTAAGCATGAAAGGTCCAATGTAGATATGAAGTCCTCCGTCCCTCTTTGGCTCGGGTTGGACACTTCAGTAGACATTGGTTGAGGATGACTATTCTCAGTTGTCTTTAATTCATTTAGATTAAAATCATACAATTGTGATTGTTCGTTTTGTTGATTGAAGTTTTGTGACTGGTTTGTAAACATGTCTGAAGTTTGTATTGGATTTGTGTTGAGATCACTCATCTGAGATGTGTTGGCTTGGTTGTAAACAGATTTATTAGAGGTTGAGTTCAGGAACGATGGTTGAGTTATAACTAAATGAGATTCGGTTGTGTCTTTGCAAGTCCATTTACTGGTCCAATCTTCTTCGTGTGATTGGTTAATACTTTTTGGTGGCTCATTTGATTGGTCTGACGTGCTGTGGTTAACTGAGAGAAACTGAGCCCACTCTGTGCCACTGAAGATCTCCTCCATTAAGTTAGAAGTAGTGTCGAATGCCAATAGACTGTCACTGACAGAAAGAATGGAAATAATGTTAGAGATAACGCCAAACAAAACCAACTCAACCACAATAGTTGCACCCTTACTCTAAATAGCTGTCATTTTTTTATTTTATTTTTTTTACAGCTGTAACCCTTTGGGGGCCACACATTCCTTGTCGATGAGACAGGAGTTTCACAAGCAAGAGAAAGTGTTTCGTGGATCTCTGCCATGGAATGATCACGATGTCTTATATGAATATTTCTGATGTGGTTACCTCAAGTAGCTTGGTGAGCTGGGGCCTTCGTCTTCATCTGGAGCAGTGCTGATCAAGACTTGGGGGATTTCTGCGGTCTCAGCAAGTGCTGCAGGTGTGTTGTTTACATCAATAGGTGTCGGTAGTGAAGAGTAATTACTCTATAAATATAATATAAGATATTATAAAAAAATAAAAAGGAAATGCTTTGAAAAAATGGTAGTCTTTGATTGGTGATCATCCATAAAGACATTCACAGATGCCGAATTTGATTGGGGGGATGTTGTCATATGGTTGCTATTTTTGCTAAAGAATTATTTGTGTTATGCAGGTGCTAAAACGGTATGGTGTTAAATTGTTGCTTAGATATTAATATTGACTGTTATTGATATAGTTATTTAGTTGCTAAATTGATGCTGCTTGGTGATTTTTTTTTAAATTCTGTCTGTGTCTGAAAGCTTTACCAAGTGAGTAAAACACCAAGGCATGCCAAAATCCAAATTCTGCTTCACTTCCTTTTTTCTGGAGGTAATTTCTTCTCATCGAATTTCAAAGGCAGCATAAATGTGTCCTTCACTTTCTAGATTTCTGACAGCTAAGCCGAAAAAAAAGCATTGGAGCTTCGCTCAGGTATCATTTTGTTTGTAAATGTACATTTTTGACCAATGTTTGATGTCTTTTAATAAGCAAATATTCCCTTTGTTATGGTCAAAGCTCACTCTATTTAGTTGTACTCTCTCAGAAGTCTTTCTAAAATCTTTTTTTTTTTTTTGAGGTGTCTTTGTGAACAAACACTGCCTCCAGCATCGCTGTCTCATAGGGTAATTAGGCAACAAGTCACATTGCCTCATGTTGTTTTCGGATGCCTATTTATCACAGTGAAATGTAGTTGCTGTGGTGTTGTTAGGTTGTTATCTTTAAATGTATCATGTATGCATTTCAAATGTTTTAAGCGCAATGCTGGTAGTTGGCACCCATTGACTTTGTTCACTTCATGCATTCCCTAATTTTAACTTTAGCTTAGTCACTTATTATCAGGGAATGAACCGCCAACTATTTTACGCAAAAGATGCCCTTTCAGCTGCAACCCAGTACTGGGAAACACCCATACTCTCTCTCATTCATGCACATGCACTCATTCACTATGGCATGTCTTTGGAAACCATGAAGACTCCGCATAGAAATGCTTCCTGGCCCAGTCAGAACTGGAACCAGCGATCTTCTTGTTGTGAGGCGACAGTGCTAACCACTGAGCCACTGTGCCACCATATTGACTTTATTTTTTATGTCTTTCCTACTATTGAAGCTGATGGGTTCCAGCAGCCAGCCTTTTTCAAAATAGCTCCTTTTGTGTTCAATGGGTGAAAGAAACACAAAGTTTTAGACACGAGGAAGAAGAAATGAATACATTTTATTTATATTTACTCCAAGGGCCGTTTATATCGAAGCTGATATTTAGCTGCACCATGTTGGTGTTTCGTAACATTTACTTTTAAAAGGTTAGCCCAATGCTCAACCCTCAACCTGGAAGGACCAGGACATACACACATACACTACTGACAGTTTAGCTTATCCAGTTAACTTATACCACATGTCTTTGGACTGTGGGGTAAACCGGAGCACCTGGAGACACGGGGAGAACATGCAAACTCCATACAGAAATGCTAACTAGCCCAGCTGAAGCTCGACTCAGTGACCTCGCAGTGAGGCGACAGCGCTACCCGAATAAATGGTTATATATGGTGATAAATGCCTATCATTTTGGGGTGAACTCCTTTAAAATTAGCATGCTGTGATCTGGCGGTTTTCTGTGTCTGGCTTATACTTGCAATGATTTTACTGTTTTGCAAACCTGAGACCAAATTTAGATTTAAATGCAACATCCTCAAATTAATACTAACCTGTGCTTTATTCTGCATCTGGGTCTGTCCATCATCTCTTTGTCTGCTCTGTGTGCCTCTGCGTCTCTCTCTCCATCTCTCCTTCACACTCTGAGCCCATCTTTTAGGCTCCCCCCACGTCTTCCTACTTGTCTTTGTCGTTTTTTCTGGTAGCTCAATAAATCCTCCACCTATATTTTTCTCACTCTCAGCAGCCCAACTCCACTGACCCCTGACCTCGGTTTTGTCCAGCACTAAAGATGATGGCGTTAGTGTTGGAGCGAGAAGGTCAGGAGGGTTTTTGAAGGTTTCAGTTTGGTATAAAGGTGGCACATTTGACCTGATCTCCCCTCCCAGGGAAAACTGTTCATTCCCAACACTGGAAGTGACATCATTAGATCTCTCTGAGATAAAACGCTTGTTTTCTCCCCATATTAATGGTGGACGTTTAGGTTTAGCAGAAGACGCTAAGTGTTTAGTGATCCTTTTGGCAGGCTTTTTAGCTGCAGGAGTTAATGCGCTCCCAAAATTAGGAGACTGTTGAGTCCAAGAGTTCCCCCAGTTATTCCAAACTGAGCTGCGTCCATCTTGCTCTTTACTTCTGATGGAGGTTCCAAATTGGTAAACGTTTGTTTTAGATGAATCCTCTGCTGATTCAGAAGCACTGCATGTTTGCATATCAGTGACTGAACTGCTGTTGGTCTGTTGAGTGTTCAATCGTAATTTCTGAAGCATAGATTCCAGTAAGGCATGAGTGTCTGAGACAGGGTTCAGCTCCGCCATTGGGCTCTGAAACCACATGCGCACATATGAGTACAGACGGCTCACAAATACTGGATAGATGAACACAGACAGGTAGAATGACTTTAGAGGCTCAACTTACATGCAACTTAGTTATGATTCCACAGATCCTTCATTTGTGCCACCAAGTTAGTCCATCCAAGTGTTTATTTCCATCCATTATTAATTTGGCTCAACTTCCATTCCATTTGTGTTCTCTCAAAACATTTTCTTGATTTGTGAAGTGCAGAAGGAAGAAGTGTGTAAAGAATGGTAAAAAAGGAGGCGTATCTAACACCCAGATGGACAGGTAAGACAAGTGTGTCAGGGTGAAACATTTTGTATTTTTGTCACTCCCTCTGACCAGCCGCTGAATAGTTGAGAAACTATGCCTGAAAGTATGTTAAGAACATTTTGATGTCTTTCTATGAATCACTGCGTCAGTAATTATGGTATTCAGGTGGATATCTGCAGATCTATACTAATGTGTATACAAAGTAAAATACAATACATTATATGCTTATATTGAAATACGTTTATCTCACATCTAATTATGGTGTAAAGTATTGCTTCCTTTCAAGTTCAAACTTGACTTCAGTTCATACTTCAAATAGTTTAATTTCAAATTAATGGGTGTCAACTAATTTTCTTCAGGGGAAAAAGAAAATATGCATTAAACAAAAGCACGTCTACAAATACTGTACATTGTTGTTGTAGTGCAGGCTAAATGCATTGTACTGTAATTTTACATTCGTATTCACTTGTATATGGAAGACTCTTTGGGTCTGCATTAGGAGAAAAAAATAAAAGTGTACAAACAAACTAAATATGTTTAAAACAATAGCTGAATTATTCATTAATTCATTTTCCTTCAGCTTATTCCCTTTATTCATCAGGGCTCGCCACAGTGGAATGAACTTTAGTTTATTAAATTCACCTATAGCGAACGTCTTTGGACTGTGGGGGAAACCGCAGCACCTGAAGAAAACCCATGCGAACACAGGGAGAACATGCAAACTCCACACAGAAATGCCAACTGGCCCAGCCGGGACTCAAACCAGCAACCTTCTTGCTGTGAGGCGACAGTGCTAACCACTGAGCCGCCATGCCGTCTCCTTAATAGTTGGATTAACAGAAATAATGTAAGATTAAAATAAATAATGAAAAATTAACAATTGAAACAAATTTCATTTAAATAATCTAATAATTATAAAGCAAATAGTACAAAACATCATTCTACATTTTCAGTTAAAACAAACATATAATTGCAGATTGATATTAACAATAAATATTAAAATAAGTAAATAAATAATTATGTAAATAAATAAAAAGAGCAAAAAGTAGAATGTCTTTATAAAGCTAACAGAAACTTAATTTAGCCATATTATGGGGTATATGCACACGGACTTTTAATTTCAGTCTGCCAGCCCCAGGGCTTCAGGTTTATTGTCATCTTATACAAAATCGTTGAGTTTCAGATCTGAGCTCTTAAAAAAAAACAGCGATCTTCACTGCCTGGCTGAGACACGATATAAAGTATCAGACCAAACAAGAAGCATTAAACTATATTTTTCCACGCCATGTCTTTAAAATATGGCAGTTTATTTTACCCCAGTATTTTCAATGGAGTTTCAGAGCTAGCCTGTGGCTAATGACGGCATCTGCGTTTAAATGGTCTTTCTTCTCTTTATATGCTTTAACAACGAAATGGATTCCTAAGTCTATTTAACTGATTATATTTGAATTAATGCTGTTAAAGGAACCTCATAAAACTGAAAATAGTTACATTAAGCTTTAACCAGAAGTTTATAATTGTCAGAAAGACACTAGCTGTGCATATAGCCCATTGATATGTATTTTATATAACATGAGGATGATGTTTTAAAACAATCTTGCATCTAAAGAAAAAAGGAAACCCCTGAACTGAAGGTATTTAGTTTTACTTTACACCCATATCGAACTGAATGCTCATAAATTGTTTTCAAACAGCTTTTCATGTTTTAAACTTATGAGAATAACTAATTTAAAATCAACGAACCTAAAGCTGACCCTGTAAAACCTGTTTTCCTATGCTTTTTCTTTCACATGGTGGGAGGCCTCTGTCTCTGTATGTGGACGCTTTGTTATGACGTAAACGCTGTGTGTCTGAGACCTCGCGCTGATTGGGTGGAGCAGAAAATACGCGCCATATGTCTGATTCGAAGTAAACAGTGTCGCACAACTGCCGATTTCTTGAATTATTTTCTTATAATAAGTTTACCGTCTTAATTATGCGTCTTTTTTATTCGATAAAAGATAACAGCTCTTAAACCTGTCTTTACGATCAATTCACCGCATTATAAGCGCCGCTGGTGTCATGTGGCCGGTTACCTGAATCATTACTATCAACAGATCGAGCTAGTGGATAGTTCATGCTTTACTTTGTTTAAAAATAGTATTATTGACAAAATATCATGGATTGTGTTGCAACTGGAGCAAACGTGAAAGGTAATGAAACTCATGTTATTTAGTGAAAGCTCACCCGGGACGCAAAGCGTTGTGTGATAAATAAGTTAAATCTAAACATGTGACGCAACATAACTTCAAAAGATTGAAGTAAAGTTGGTTTTATATTCACACATTCAAACTTTCCTATTCTGTGCAAATTCTACATAAGGGAATCATAATAGCAGCCAATGACTACCAAAGCACAAAGCAGCACTATTCAAGTCAAATAAATAGTGCTGATGTTGTTTTGAAGTCATACTTTCATGTGATTTCAGACCCAATGTTCAAAGTGCTGTGATAAACAATATAGGGAGCTTTTCACAAGTTGACACTGAACGAAAGTGCTAATAATATAAAACCAACTTTACTAAAGCCGTATCCAGCTCTTAAAAGATGCTTTTATAAATAGACCAAGAAAACTGATTTACATTTGTTTTAGTTTTAGCAAAAGCCATACATTCCCTGTCGAGAATTGGAGAGGAGCTGTATTTGGAGCCTGTGGATGATGGGGTAACATCATTAATGTTTCAGTTGTGTTTTTATTTAGCCAGATGTGAGATGGTATCTTAAAGAACTCTGTATCCTGTGTTTTTAGCTGGCCCTGCGGTCGGTCAACTCTTCCCGCTCAGCCTTTGCCAGTTTCCAGTTGTCTCCTCTCTTCTTCCAGAGATACCAGGCTCCAACAGACCAGAGCTTCCGCTGCAAAATGCCCATCAAAGTAACATCTCCTGCGTCTATGCATTTCAGGCACTTTATGGTTTGGTTAAAGGGTTAGTTCCCCCAAATCAAATCTTTACTCACCCTGTGTTTCTTCTTCTGTTGAAAAAAAAAAAGTTATATTAAAAAAATGTTGTAAACTGGTAAAGATTGACTTCTCTAGTGTTTGTTTTTTCCTACTATGGAAGTCACTGGTTTCTAACATTCTTCAAAAAAATTTTTTTGTGTTCAACAAGAAAAAGAAACTCGTGAAGATTTAGATCCACATGAAGGCGAGTAAATAATTGCTTTGGGGGCCAAACCATCTCTTTAAATACCTGTTATTTAATCACTTATTTAATAGAATTTTAATGTGTATCAATAACGCCCACTCATTTACATATACTCCTGTTAGCACATTTAAAAATATATATTTTTCTTGTCCTCTTCAGAGTGTTCAGGCCGTGTTCAAGTCACTGTCATCTTTGGAGCGATCTGTAGAAAAATGCCGTATACAGTTGAACAGTGAGAAGAGTCGGTTGACTATTACTCTGCACTGTAAACACGGTAAAAACATACATCTGAAAACTTTTTTTACAAGGATTATTTGTGTACTTTTGCACAACTCAATATATAAAGTTTCATGTAGAAGAATGTCTGGGTTTCTGCAGGTTTCATAAAGTTAAATTTAGATGTTTTAAGAGTATTATGAATGCATGCCAGACAGATATTGTGCTAAACAGCAAGATTTTTTTCTAGATTTCTAGATTTTTACTTGCCCCATCAAAAAAAATGCTAATTTAATAAATTTTTAGTGATATTTTTAAAACAATTTGTCATAACAAGCCAAGTCTAGTTGCATATATACACATTTTGTTCAACATAACTTTTCTTTTTTTTTTTTTAATTGACAAGTTTTAAAAACATTCACAACAGTTTGTCCAGTTCAGTGTTTCTACCAGGTAGCTCTAAACAAAGCTTTTAACAAATGTTATTGTAAGGAAGATAATAATTAAACCATATTGGGAAACAGAGGTAACAAATTAAACTTGTGTTAAAGGTGTTTTGAGAGCTTTATTGTTGGTGATTGAATAAGTGTCTGCCTGACTGGGTAGCATTACATGGAAATAGGAAAATTAAGACCTGTTTAAAATGATTTAAGACCTACAACACAATATTTCAGTGAATGTAAAACCTTTTAGGGCCTAAAACGAATTTACGAATTTTTAATTCCAGAGTGACCCCGCTGACACCCTGAAATGTGCCCCTTTACAGACAGTGAAAACGTTTATGATGTGCTCTTTGTAACAACTCGTTAATACTTTTGTGCACAATTATTGAAACTGTGCTTCTGGACCTCTAAGCTCAAAGCAAGGGTGACACCAGCATACAAATCAAATACCCAGAATGTTGCTTTGCTGAAAACGTGAAGTTGTGTGAGACACATTGGTTTGTATACGGTCACGGAATCCTTATGCAATCATTATTGTTATACAATAGACTTAAATTGTAATAAATTCAGGGTCAGCACGGTAGTGCAGTGGGTAGCACAATCACCTCACAGCAAGAAGGTCGCTGGTTCAAGCCCCGGCTGGGTCTGTTGGCATTTCTGTGTGGAGTTTGCATGCTCTCTCCGTGTTGGCGTGGGTTTCCTCCAGATGCTTTGGTTTTCCCCACAGTTCAACTTCAAAGACATGTGGTACAGGTGAATTGTGTAAGCTAAAAATTGTCTGTAATGTATGAGTGTGAATGAGTGTGTATGGATGTTTTCCAGTGATGGGTTGCAGCTGGAGAGGCATCCGGTGCGTAAAACATATGCCGGATAAGTTGGCAGTCCAATCCGCTATGGCAACCCCAGATTAATATGTAATAAACTCAATGTTATCATTTATTTAATCTAGCTTTTGTTATTCTGTTAATAACAGTTTATGTTTTTAGTGATCGCAAAAATCAGCATATCCAGTAAAATAATGATTAAAATAACTTATTCATTACAAGGGTGTCCGCTGGGTCATAAAATGTCCTACATTTTAAAAACTACATTTTAGACCTTAAAAA